GACATTGAGTATGTTATAAGAGTAGGCTGAATTAGTCGTTGCCACAGTACTGTGTCATAGTACTGTATCAAAAATTTCTAAAGCTTCACTGTAATGTGTGTTTTGTTGTGTAGTGAAAAACTCAGGTTCACAAGAGCCACAGAATTGGTTGCTATAATTTCAATTCTCTGCATATAAGATGTTATTATACAAATATTGCAAACGGCTGCTTTGTGCACATTGTGGACATATGAGTGGAAAATTGAGACCACCTTGAATTAGAGGTCTTCCTTAAGTGCTGTTTCTATAAAGCATTGTCATCTGAATCCCTCTCATTAGTCTCCTTCAAATATTTACAGCCTTTTCCATTTCTTATAAATCGCTTTCGTGCCTTTAATTTAACTCAATATTCTCTAAAAGCTTCAAGTGCTGGAAGTCAATAAAACTTCTCTGTGGTTTCCAGGAAAACACTGTTCAGATATTGAGCCCTGCTTAAAGATTCAAATCCATCTCCTGGCCTCTTCCTGGTGATGCAAGGGCCGATATTTAAACCCAATAATTCATGTGCAGATATGAATGTTTTAGTTATGGGAGCGGAAATTAAACTGAATTAATGATAATCAAACTAGGGGTCCTGAAGCTATTTCAAGCCCTGCAAGATAAGGTGAGGAAGATGGATATTGGAGTGTATCAGTCAGTCTCTCTTATTTGAAACTGCTTTATAAGAGAGTTTCTTTTCCTCCTTGATGCATATATGGGTAGAAATTAGTTTGTTTCCTCGTGTAATAAAAAATGTAATAAAATAGCTGTAGGTGGCTCCATTATAAGTCTGGTGAACAAATCAAGCTGGTTGTCCCTGTTTCTCCTAATTAATTTCATGATCACAAACAGTTGTTGAAGATGTCTAGTTTACAATATACTTTTTAAATACTACAGCAATAAGAGGAAGTGAAACAAAATTGAAGACAAAACAATGTTGTAATTTTTTCAAATCACAGTAATCCTTATGGTAAATTAGACAAGGCTAAATGTAATCACCTTTTATATGACATTTTCAGGCAATGATTATTAGGCTGTCTTAGAAACATACTGCCTTGTGCTTGGATGGAAAGCCGCCTCTACTCCTCCTTTTTGCATATTTCTGTAAATTTAAACCCCAAATGAACCGTCTTGTCTTCATTAAATCCCTCTGTTCCCAGATCCCTCCATCTCTGGTGCTAATGATGTGCCTGGGTATCCTGCCTCCTGAATCCATCTTCTCTTTTTCTCTTCCATTTTCAGTCTATCTATCCCCACTTCACCTCCCCCAATGTCTGTCTGTTTCTCAGACTCTAATGATGTGCCAATATATGAGAAGCTACATGTAGTGTGTCTTAGCAGGATATGGTGAGGCTGAAGAGCTGACAACATCTTGTCTGCATACGGCACAGCCACGCATTATTGTGAAATCAAGGGAATCTACACACAGTACACAATGTGCAAAAACATATTTCCACAAACCTGGATACTGGAATGAAGTACATCTTTTAATTTGCATGATTAGACACCACTTATCAACACCACACACACACACACAAACACACACACACACACACACACACACATATATATATATATATATATATATATATAGATATATAGATATATAGATATATATATACTTGGACTTGGGGGGGAATCGCTGTTTTGTGGAGGGGAAAATGGCTGTGCATGATTTCAAAAACACAGGACATGATGTTAAAAGATCCAAAGTGCCTGGGGACTCTGCATGGCAGGGGCGTCCTACTCCCTGAGCCAGGTTTGCACCTGACCGCATACCTACACACTTGAAGACTTGAGCATTGAGATGTTGAGACAGCTGGACAGACACTTCACAGGGGTTATCAAGTGGGTTCCTACTTTCACCAACGTTTCGCTGATTTAACCCCACGACGTCTCCAGTAGGCTCAGCAGTGTAATCTGGCGTCCCAGAAACACCCCCCTCTGCATCTGCCCAACCAGTTTATTTGGGAGACCAGCTAGGGTCTTTCCTTTTCAGCCAAAGCCACTGGCTACACCGCTCTGCCACTCTGGATAGATCCTTGATGGCCTGGCATAGGACTTGTCCACTGATTCCCAGGTCCTTCATCAGCCTCACAGTCGACGTTGCCACAAACCCCCGACATCCAACTTCTGCTGGGCAGACCTTTGCTCTCCAGCCCCTCTGTTCTGCTTCTGCTGCGAGATCTGAATAACGCAGTTTCTTTCGTTCAAAGGCTTCCTCTACCGCATCCTCCCAAGGGACGGTGAGCTCCACAAACTACACTCTGCGCTGTGAGTTGGACCACAGGACTAGGTCAGGCCTTAGGTTGGTGATGACTATCTCTGGTGGAACTAGGAGCTGTGTTCCCACGTCCACCAGCATCTGCCAGTCTCTGGCTGTCTCCAGTTCACCCATTCTGGCCTTTGGTGGTAACTTCCTCTGTCCTTGTTTCCCTTCTCGAACAAACGCAATCGAGTTGGCCGAGTTGGTTACTCTGGGCGGCAAGGCATTGATGGTGGTTCTTCTGCTTTCCAGACTTGCGGCCAGGCACTTAAGAACTTGGTTATGTCTCCAAGTGTACCGTCCTTGAGAGAGGCTCACTTTACACCCAACAAGGATGTGTCTGAGTGTAGCTCGTGTTGAACACAGGGGCATGATGGATCTTCACCCACCCATTGGTTGAGATTTGTAGGGGTAGGAAGAACGTCATAAGTCGATCGGATGAGAAAACTTATCCTACTTGCCTCCATCTCCCACATGTCCTTCCAGCTGATGGTTTGTTTCTCCACACTCTCCCATCTCATCCACTGGCCCTGTTTTACCTGTGACACAGCCTTGGCACACCTGTTTGACTCCTCCTGTCGGCGGACTTTGGCCACAACCATCTTCCGACGCTCCCGAGAGGCTGCCTTGTTCCAGCACGGACGCTTTTCACCCAGTCCCAAGCCACCTCTTCCATGTTGGTCTTGGCCCACGATGTCACTGTGGTGGAGAGCAGATTTTGCCTGCTGTACTGCGTTCTTAGCCGTCCACTTCCTTCCTGATGCCACAGTTGGAGCAGCAGCTCGGATGACAGTGTCTTTTGATTCTGCCAGGGTCATCTCTAGTCTCACTTTTGTACATTTGAACTCCTCTGTGAGGCTAGAGAGGGGCAGCTGGAGTAGCCCCTGACCATAGAGGGCTACACTGCTGAGGCATCGAGGGACCCCTAACCACTTTCTCACATGAGAGCTTATCATCCTCTCCATTTTCTCAACCCTTGTGAGCGTGAGACCATTCATGGTTAGTGGCCACATGAGGTGAGGCAGTAATCCGAACTGTAAGCACCAGATTTTCAGCTTGCCGGGCAACATGGATTTGTCGATGACCTTCAGACCTTTGATGAGTTCCTGCCTGAGTTTGTGCGCCCGGTCAGAGTCCTTTAGCTTTGAATCGTACCATCTTCCCAGGCTTTTGATTGGCTTTTCCGCGACCGTTGGGATAGGTCCTTCATCGATGAAGACCCTTTGCTCCGTCAGTTTGCCTTTAACTATGGAGATGCTTCTTGATTTGGATGGCTTGAATTTCATTCTGGCCCCAGTGATGTTCTCTTGAAGCTTCCCTAGAAGGCGCCTGGTACACGGTATTGTTTTTGTCATGGTTGTCATGTCGTCCATGTAGGCCCTGATGGGCGGCAGCCGGATTCCAGATGCCAAGCGCTCACCGCCCACCACCCACTTGGAGGCTCTTATAATGACTTCCATCGCCATGGTGAATGCCAATGGGGAGATGGTGCACCCTGCCATTATGCCAATCTCCATGCGGTGCCATGTGGTGGTAAAGTCTGGCGTGGTGAAGCAGAGCTGAAGATCTTGAAAGTAGGACTTGACAAGGTGCTTGATGGTCCCAGGTATCCGAAAGAAGTCAAAAGAAGCCCAGAGGAAACTGTGAGGGACGGATCCAAACGCATTGGCAAGGTCAAGGAATACAACATGGAGATCCCTCTTCTCCTTCTTAGCAGTCTGAATTTGGTGCCAAATCATGCTGGTGTGTTCAAGACATCCAGAGAACCCTGAAATGCCTGCTTTTTGGACTGCCGTATCCACAAGGTTGTTTCTCTCCAGATAGCTGGACACCCTCTGAGCTATGGCGCTGAAGAAAATCTTACCCTCCACATTAAGCAGACTGATTGGGCCGAATTGGCTGATATCTGTAAATTCCTTCTCTTTTGGAATTAGGACTCCTCCTGATCGGCGCCATGCTTTGGGTACAATTCCCTTTTCCCAGGCCACGCTCATCAGTTTCCACAGAAAACGAAGAACATCTGGAGCATTTTTGTAAAGTCTGTACGGAACTCCATTTGGCCCGGGGGCTGATGAAGCTCTCGCCCGCTTCACTGCGTGTTCCACCTCCCTCCACTTGGGAGGATTAGTGTCCATTTGAGGTTCGGGTTCCTCGATTGGTGGAATGTCAGATGGAATAGCTACCTGCTCGTGCTTCCTGTCATCTGCACATATTCTTTCCAGAAATGTTTCCAGCTCTTGGCTTGATGTTGTCAGGTTTCCTCCCTTCTCTTTGGTGAAGAGTGTTTTCACGAACTTGAAGGGGTCCTTGAAAAAACGGGATCTTGCTCGTTCTCTCTTTTTCCGGGACTTTCGCAGGTTCTCTGCTCGTCTCAGAGTGGTTAGCCGGCTTTTGATGTTTTCCTGTAGAATGTTGATGCCCTCCTTCTCAAGATCAGAAGCCTTCCTCCACTGCTTCTTGAGCTGCCTTCTCTCCCGGATCAGTCGGTCGATCTCCTGCTGTCGTCTGGATTTGCTCTCTAATGCTGGTGCCCTTCCCTGCTTGTTCCTTACTCCATACCGTTCCGCTCCATATGAGTAGATGATGTCTCCCATCTTGTCAAGCTTTCGTTCGACTGTGCCGCTCATGGTTTGTAGGATGCTGGTCAGGTCCCTGTTTATTGTCTCCCATTCTTTCTTCTCCGAGGCTCCAGGCCATTTCACCCGGGGTTTGTTTCCACTGATCTTTTTCTCCATTGCTGGTTTTGGCTGGATGGGCTTCATACATTCCTCTGCTGCCTCGTCCAATGTGCTTGAGTGTCCTTCTTCAGGAGGACTGATGTCCTGCGAACTTTGGTGAGATTCCGGTCGCTGAACTTCATTCGACTGACTTGATTGACTTCTCAAGAAGTACGTATCAATGCGAGGTTCCTGTTTTCCTTCTTTCAAGCACTTTTTTTCTCCCTTGATGTATTTTCAGGCCCAGTGACGAGGTCACACTCCTCCAGCCGCAGGGACAGACCTGAAGCCTTTTCTCGGATGATGTTGATGCGCATGTCTTCCTCGTAGTCTTTTCCGTTCCAGGGTCTGTTGCCGTGTTATCCATCGCTGAGTCTTCTTCCGCCCCCACTCTCCTAGACTCCAGGGGTATTTCCTCTTGTATTGGGTTCGTAGCAATTTGCGGGTGTCTTCAAAATACTATCAAGTACTGGATCCTGCTGACATGGGCAGCTAGCCCATGCCTGCCCCAGGTGGGGTCTATTTCCTCCTGTCAGCTGTCTTTCCAGCAGTCACATGGTCTTTCCCTTGTTGTCAGCCATTCTGTTTAAGGCAGTCACTGGATGACTCCAGAGTGAATGATTTCAAAAACACAGGACATGATGTTAAAAAGGCTAAATCCATCAATGCAGCTGTGTATTGCAATAGCACTCAGCCTTAGTTTATCATATAAATCTATATGCCATAAGTAAGGCATTAGTGCCTCTGCAAGTGTAGGTTGGTGCCGGTGTCCGAGACAGATGTGGTGCTCGTAGGAGCTCGACTCCCTCTGAATTGCAAATGTTGGTTATCAGTTGGATTGATTCTTGAGAAACCACAAAAGCCCTCTGGATGGTCCACTGATGCACCCACTGATAACTCTGCAGTCGACCAGTTTCAGCAATTTTTTCCCCCCACAAAAGCAGCTTTATGACTTTATGACTTAATTGTCTGGTTGGTTGGCCATTACCATTTTGTCGGTCTGTATTTCGAAGTCCCACAGGATCTTGGCTTGGTCATTCTCCATCACCTTGTAAGGTGCCTTCCATTTTGACCTTGGGTTTCCAGTCCATATTCTGCACAGATGTTCCTGTACACTATACCAGCTACTTGGTTATGGTGTTCTATGTATGCTTTTCCTGCCAGCATCTTACATCCCGCTGTTAGGTGTTGGACTGTTTCAGGGCCCTCTTTGCACAGCCTGCACCTGGGATCTTGCCTGGTTTGGTAGATCTGGGCTGCTATTGCTCTGGTACTCAAGGCCTGTTCTTGTGCCACCATGATTAGTGCCTCTGTGCTGTCCTTCAGTCCAGCTCTCTCCAGCCATTGGTAGGATTTGCTCATATCAGCCACTTCAGTTTACTATTATAGCATGGTACATCCCATGCTGGGGTTTTTCCTCCTTTCTTGTCAGTTTCCATTGTCTGAGACACTCACCAAGCGCTCCATCTCTTGGGGCCAGCTTCCTGACATAGTCATGGAGCTTGGATATTTTATCTTGGATAGTGGCTCTGAAGCTCCCTAACTCTCTGCCTCCTTCTTTGCACTTAGTGTATAGCCTCTGTATACTGAACCTGAGGTGGAACCCCCTGTGCATGGTGAGCAACTTCTGAGTTTTAACATCTGTGGCCTGAATTTCCCTCTTTGGCCAGCTTATTATTTTAGAAGGGTATCTGATCACTGGAAGGGAATAGCTGTTAATTTCGTGAACTTTGTTTCTGCCATTGAGCTGACTCTTTAGGACCTTTGATATACTTTTGTAACTTTGGCCCCAGTCACTTTTGAACTGAAGAAGCCTTTTAGTGGAGAGATGAGACATCTTCAAGAACTTGAAACATGTCCAGTTGCCTTTGAACGAAGAATTGGAGTATTAACATTCTCAATGTTTCCAGTTTAATCCCTGAAGTTAAATTCAATTATCTGTTGTCTCACTTGACATGTCTCTAAAAGTAATCTACTATTTACCCAAGAGTTATAAAGCCTGATGGCTGTTGGTACAAAAGATCTTCTGAATCTCTCTGTCCTGCAGCAAAGAGAGAGGAGCCGTCCACCACCATTGGCCCTTTGGTCCATCAAAGTGTTGTAAAGTGGGTGATCCATGTTCTTGAGAATAGTCTTCCTCAGTGTATATCTCTCCACCACATCCTCTACTGAGTCCAGCTTGAGTCCAACCACAGAGCCAGCCTCTTTCACCAGTGTGTTAAGATGTCTTGCATCTTTGTGTGTGATGCTTTCTCCCCAGCAGACCGCAGTGTAGAACAGAACACTTGCCACCACAGACTGATAAAACATCTGCAGCATCTTACTACAGATGTCTATTGATCGGAGTCTTCTCAGGCAAAAGAGGCGGCTCTGCCCCTTTCTGTAGATGTAGTCTATATTCTTAGACCAATCCAACTTATTATCCAGATTTACACCCTAGGTATATATATGATGTTACCACTTCAATGTCCACTCCACAGGTGTTCACTGGCTGAAGAGGGGGTTTGGATCTATGGAAGTCTATGACCATCTCCTTTGTCTTTGAGGTGTTGAGGAGGAGGAGTATTTGTGACTCCAGTCACTGAAGGCTCTTATTAGATCTCTGTATTCAGTTTCTTGTCCAATTCTGATACATGCCACAATAACAGTGTCATCTGTGTAGTTCTGGATGTGGCAGGACTCAGTGCTGAAGTCTGACGTGTACAGTGTGAACAGGAATGGCACCAGCACTGTCCCTTGTGGAGCCCCTGTACTGCTTATTAATGTCCCAGAAACACAGTTCCCCAACCTGACAAACTGTGGCCTTCCTGTCAGTTAATCTGTGATCCAGGAAACACAGGAAGGATCCACTCCCACCTCTGTCAGCTTGTCTTGGAGTATGGTGGGTTGGATGGTGTTGAATGCACTTGAAAAGTCAAAGAACATGATCCTCACATAAACCTCAGGTTCCTCCAGATGAGACAGGGCATGGTGAAGCATGTAGAGGACAGCATCATCCACTCCAATGTGTTCTTTGTATGCAAACTGCAGGGAATCCAGTTTGTCTTTGACCTCAGACATCAGAAGGTGTAGAATCAGCTGCTCCAGATCATCATGATGTGTGAAGTGAGGGCCACTGGTCTGTACTCATTGAGTTCAGCAGGACATTTTGTTTTTGGTACTGGCACAATGCAGGATGTTTTCCACAGAGCAGGTACCCGCCCTAGCTGTAGACTCAGGTTGAAGATCTTGTGGAGAGGTTGACACAGTTCTGCAGCACAGTCTCTAAGCAGTCTTGGACACACACCATCTGGACCAGCTGCCTTCCCAGGACAAAGTCTTCCAAGCTCCATCCTCACCCCTGTTTCGGTGACAGACAAGGACTGGTGTTCTAGGAGGGAGGCAGTTGAAGCGGTTGAGACATCTGAACGAGATGGAGGAGGAATGGGAGAAGTTGTAGTGGAGATTTGTTGCAGAGAGGAAGGTTAAGTAGCAGTCGGAATGGGTGTGACAGCAGTGTCAAATCTGTTGAAGAACATGTTGAGTTCATCAGGGGCCTTATGTATCAATGCCTGCGGCACAAGAAAACCTTGCGTACGCCAAAATCGGCGCAAACGTCCAGATGCGTTGCGTTGACTGTGATTCGCACTTTGGCGACGCTGTGTGGCGGTGTTTGGTGACTCACTATGTGACAAACGTGCACCACATCCCCGTGGCAGAGCAGCATGTCGCCCCACATCACGAACCAGCAGCAGACGGAGGGATGCGAGCTGATCCCTGCCGGGCCGCCGTCCTCGCGCGGGAGAATCTCATCGCTACAGTGTGAATGGGTAAGAAGTGAATACACAGTTCAATGAGCCAAATTAATTTATTTTCTCCACCAGACGCTTGAGGACATTTACGAGCCGGTCCAGCCGCTCGTTAATCCCCGCGATCCCCCTGATGATTTCTTCCTGCGATTGCAGGACCGCCTCCGTGAGGACCCTTCCACTGCGTCCGGGTGGTCCAGCGGAAGCGCCGCGGCTGGTGGACGCTCCACTGCTTGTCGGCGCGCTGGTGCTGATGCTGGTGCTGGGGCCGGGGCCAGGGTGGCCCGAATGCCGCTGGTCCTGGCCGACGACTCCGAGCCGGCGGACGGGCTGCCGCGGGCCGGGGTTCCGCAAGCCGGCGACACGGCCGACACATTGATTTCTGTGACACAATAAAAATATTAGTTCATTTCAATTCCTGCTTTTGTGTATCTGTTGCGTTTACATCTCTCTCCACGGTATCATAGGTAATGTAATCCAGTATTTAGAGGTCAGTTATGCACATTACAGTTGTTTATTGCATAAAAAGTTATCGAAAAATGAAGTTAAGGGCGAAGTATAAATCATGTCTAAAAATAGACTGAATCCCGACGTTGAAATGAAGTATAAACTTAGACTAGACGTCTAATATACGTCTTTTGCTCAGTGGGATGGCAAAGCATGTGGACATTTGTGTGACACGCCACTTACCCTATAATAATAATCGCCACCACTCGCTGCTCAAACGGCGTGAGGGTCTCCTCCCCCAAACCCCCACCTGTCTGGCCGGTACTCCTCCAGAGGGCAGCTGTACACCGCTTGACCTCCACCTTGAGGTCCGACCACTTTTTTTAAATCTCCGCGGGGGTGCGTGTCTCGGAACCCACCGCGTTCACCCTCTCGCAAACTTTCTCCCACTCCAAGCGTTTTCGTTTTGCACTGACCCCACTGGACAGGCTGCCAAACAAAACACGCTGTCGCTCCTCCACCTCGCACGCCGTAAATTTAGTTTTTCTTGTCATTTTGTCTGCGTGCGAGGACAGGGAGACCCTATTTAAATAAATCTGCATATTTATGTCAGGGCGTAACGGGGGCGGGCCCAGTCACTCCGACATCTGCGCTCAATTCCACGCTGATTGGGATTTATCAAGGAAACACACGTGGATATCGGCGCCCGCACACATTGATACATACGGATTTTTTTCAGCGTGACGGACCTTGCGTGCGCTCGTTTCTGGTACGAGTCCCACGCAAGTATTGATACATGAGGCCCCAGCTCTTTCCACATCACCCACCACTGGCTGTCTTTTCTTTTCATTGCTTTGTCCAGAGATGGTACTGATTCCTCTCCATACTTCACAGATGTTGCTGTGTTGTAGATTCTTCTCTATCTTCTTTTTGTACTCCAGCTTTGCCATCTTCAGTCTCCTCTTCAACTCCAGTTGAACTTGTTTGAGTCGTTCTTTGTCACCATCTCTAAAAACTTTCTTTTTCTGGTTTAGGATTGTTTTTATGTTACTTGTGATCCAGGGTTTGTTGTCGAGGAAACAGCGAACAGTCTTTGTCGGTATAACTGTGTCTCTACAGACATAATCAGTAAAGCAATTAACCTGTTTATCAATGTTCATACTATCCACATCTGTTTCCAGCAGCACTTTCCAGTCTGTTGATTTAAAACAGTCCCTTAGAGCTTCACTGGCTTGAGGTGTCCATCTTCTGATTTTGACTTTGGTCACAGGCTGCCTCAGTACACAAGCTCTGTAACAGGTATACAGGTGTAAAACAGCAATATATAGTTTTCATGTGGACAAGGTCTTTATCATAGATTGTTTATACTATGGCCAACTTGGCTCCCCCTTCTGTTGTTATACAAATTTGAGGCCGAATTGCTCTCAGTATTTCCAGGATTTTTTCCACTTCCTGGAACCACCACTTGTGCAGTAGCATTGTAGACATTCGGTGGAAGAGTCCCTGTGATGATGCTCGGCTCAAACAGCGTATCCCCTGGGTGAGCTACGCAATCTCCATACACTCATAGGCTGTATCAAGTATCAATCATAGAAAACGTGAACCCCCTAATAACTCTTAAAATTTAGCTGCAAAGAAAAAAGAGGACTTGATCACAAACCAGTCTTACAGCAACTACATGTCAACATCGCAACCAGGGGGGAGAAAAATTTATATTCTGTGTAATTAGTTTCTCAAGTCTGTCCACGGCTCCATAGGGATTGCTGGAGGAGGCGGGGTTTATGACCTATATAGCAGCCAACCACCAGAGGGTGCTGTTTTCGGCTTCACCCAGCGAGGAGGCATATGACGTCCATTCCAGTGGCGATTGCAAGGGAAGTTCAGCTTCCCTTAAAATGTCACCCCCCAAAAAAAAGAAAAAGTGGTGAAATACATACTGCTGTGTGTACATTTCATTAACTAAATACGCGCTAGAAAGACTTCATCTTTTGTTCAGACACTGTGATAAGAAACTGATAATCACAGGTAACCGGCATAACTTCGTTCTCATTCATCCTCTCAGCGCCTCAGTGCTTCACACAGCCAGACGCTCAGATTCTGCAGACTTCAATGTGGAAGCTCAAAGTGGGTTGTTCCAGCAGCGAAACTAGACGCTCATTGGATAAATGCTTGGCTTTGTCCCGCCCATCGGACGCTCTGCGTCTCTGGAGTTCTATGAGGAGAGGGCGGTCCCGACTTTCTCCCGGACTCCGAGCTTCTGCATCCATGATTGAATGAGCTGTCTGAGGCGAAATCCTTTTTTGATTGACAGCTAAACAAGCGAATCAGGGATCTTGAAGAATAAAACATCTACCAGAGCATTTTCCAAGTTATTCATTCCGTTGTTCTTAACTGCTCCGGAGACTTTACCGATCCTCAGCGACTTTTGTCTTTGTTAAAAACAACTGCCGTTGTGTTTTGCGACTCTGTTCTGTTACATACTAATAAACAAACACAATTATGATGTAGGCCAGAAAAATGAGCTTCCCCTCCGTGAAAGACCAGCAGCCGCCACTGGTCCATTCTATACGAAGTCTATGGTCTCAAGGCACCTGCCTAAGTTTCATGAGGACTGTATAATCCACACCAACCAGCCTCGCATTCAGTGAAACTGTTATAATACAGTCAATTATACTTTAATCATCAGAAACAATCTTTGTTATTACATTTCTATCAATGCCTGTATTTTACTGGATGATAAAATACACCATCAGTTAAAATTGATTTTTCATTAAATAAACTGTAGTGAAAGATCATACACAGGCTACACCAGCTGGTTGTGTAGTGCTCATAACTTCTCTGACACATAATTTCCTGCTGTCGTTTTTCTGGGGCTGTCATTTGGGATTTCACATTCCAGCTGGTCATATCCTTCCAGATGAAATGCATAGACTCTCATCTCTGCTTTCCTGCTTTAGAGTTCCTCTCAGTATAATTTTTTACTTTATCTTTCTGCAGTTCATTCATCTTACTGGTATTTGTGGTACCACCTCTCATTGCGGCCTAGTGTTTGCAGTTTCATCAGTGTAGTTGAGGTCATTATCCAATGCTACCAATGGCCGAATCCTGTCTTTAAGGGAGGATTTACCTTGTTATACACACATGGACAAAATTGTTGGTAACCCTCAGTTAATGAAAGAAAAACCCACAATGGTCAGAAATAACTTGAATCTGACTAAAGTAATAATAATAAAAAAAAAATCTATGAAAATGAACAAATGAAAATCCAACATTGATTTTGAACCATGGTTTAACAGAATTATTTTTAAAAAATTATCTCATGAAAGAGGTCTGGACAAAAATGATGGTACCCCTAGAAAAGACTGAAAAAGATGTGACCAAGGGGACATGTTAATTCAAGGTGTGTCCACTAATGAGCATCACAGGTGTCTACAATTTTGCTATCAGTCAGTGGGCCTGTATAAAAGGCTACAGGTAGGCACTGTGCTGTTTGGTGACATGGTGTGCACCACACTCAACATGGACCTGAGGAAGCAAAGGAAAGAGTTGTCTCAGGAGATTAGAAAGAGAATTATAGACAAGCAGCTTAAAGTTAAAGGCTATAAGACCATCTCCAAGCAGCTTGATGTTCCCTTGACTACAGCTGCACACAACTGTCAGAAATTTAAGATCCATTGGACTGTAGCCAACCTCCCTGGACGTGGCCGCAGAAGAAAAATTGATGATAAATCAAAGAGATGGATAATACGAATGGTAACAAAAGAGCACAGAAAAACTTCTAAAGAGATTAAAGGTGAACTTCAAGTTCAAGGAACGTCAGTGTCAGATCGCACCATCCGTTGTTGTTTAAGCCAAAGTGGACTTAATGGGAGATGACCGAGGAGGAACCATTGTTGAAAACAAATCATAAAAAAGCCAGACTGGAATTTGCCATACCACATGTTGACAAGCCACAAAGCCTCTGGGAGAATGTACTATGGACAGATGAGACAAAAATTGAACTTTTTGCCAAGGCACAACAGCTCTATGTTCACAGACAGAAAAATGAAGCATATCAAGAAAAGAACACTGTCCCTACTGTGAAACATGGAGGAGGCTCTGTTATGTTCTGGGGCTGTTTTGCTGCATCTGGCACAGGGTGTCTTGAATCTATGCAGGGTACAAGAGAAATATGCTGGCCAGTGTCAGAAAGCTTGGTCTCAGTCGCAGGTCATGGGTCTTGCAACAGGACCATGACCCAAAACACACAGCTAAAAACGCCCAAGAACGGCAAAGAGGAAAACATTGGACTATTCTAAAGTGGCCTTCTATGAGCTGTGACCTAAATCCTATTGAGTATTTTTGGAAGGAGCTGAAACATGCTGTCTCGAAAAGGCCCCCCTTGAAACTTGGCAGAGGTTGCCACAGTTCTGCAGCACAGTCTCTAAGCAGTCTTGGACACACACCATCTGGACCAGCTGCCTTCCCAGGACAAAGTCTTCCAAGCTCCATCCTAAACCCCTGTTTCTGTGACAGACAACAGCTGATGTTCTAGGAGGAAGGTGGTTGCAGCAGTGGAGATGTGTAGGAGATGGAGGAGGAGGAGTAGCCACAGTGGAGATTTTCACATGTTGAGGAGAGTAAGGTTAAGTAGCTGTGGAATGGGTGTGACAGCAGTGTCAAATCTGTTAAAGAAAAGGTTGAGTTCATCAGCTCTTTCCACATCACATTCCACTGGCTGTCTATTCTTTTTATTGCTGTGTCCAGAGATGGTACTGATTCCTCTCCACACTTCACAGATGTTGCTGTGTTGTAGATTCTTCTCTTCTCTTCTTTTTGTACTCCAGCTTTGCCATCTTCAGTCTCCTCTTCAACTCTTGTTGCACTTGTTTGAGTTGTTCTTTGTCACCATCTTTAAAAGCTTTCTTTTTCTGGTTAAGGATTGCTTTTATGTCACTTGTGATACAGGGTTTGTTGTTGGGGAAACAGCAAGTCTTGGACACAAAGACTTGCTGCCCTGACCCAGCTTGGTCAGGGCAGGCAGAAGTTCAGAAACCGGGAGGCAAACAGACCAGGCAGACAATCAGAAGGGGGGCAGGCAGAGCTTGTAGTCGGGAACAAAAGGCTAAGGTAATTTACCAGGAGGCAGATGAAGCAGGCAGGTCGAAGACAGGCGGAGTGGGCACCGGGAAGACAAACAGAAGAACGCTGGAAAGTCTCGCATAGCAAAGAACAATCTGGCACTGAGTGAGTGTGAGGCTGGAGAATATATACTAAGCAGAGAGCTGGGGAGCTGATTAGTGAGTGAGGGCAGGTGTGTGATTACTGAGTGAAGGCAGGTGTGTGATCAGTGACTGAGAGTGGGTGTGGTAATCAGGGAGTGGGTGTGGTGTGAGCAGGGTAGTGGAAAACTACTGAGTCCATGGGGAAAGGCTGGAGCAGACTGTGACACTGTCCGTTAAGTACGACCGGAACCAGTCGAGGGCGGCACCCTTAATGCCCACACAGTGCTCCAGGTGAGAGATTAAACTGCTGTGGTCAACAGTGTCAAATGCAGCAGACAACAAACACTAGGACAACAAACTTTCCAGAGTCTGTTGACAAAAGGATATCATTAGACACCTTTTCAATTGATGACTCTGTGCTGTGTAGAGCTTTGAAACCGGACTGGAACAACTCTGTTATACCATTATCTTCCAAAAATGGTAACAACTGATTGTAGACAACCTTCTCTAAAATGTTGGACAGATATGGAAGATTTGAGATGGGTCTGAAACTGGCACAGAGGGATGGGTCGAGGCCAGTTTAAAATCATGGTACTTTACCAGAGGAGAAGCTACTATTTACAATATTAAGGACACTTGGTCCAACAGTAGCAAGTACCTCTTTAAACAAGTGTGTGTGTGTGTGTGTGTGTGTGTGTGTGTGGGGGGGGGGGGGGGCATCTGCAGGAGGTCCAGAAGACTTCATATGGCTGACTATGTCATTTAAAATACAGAGAGACACAGACTCAAATTTAGCAGACAGGTGAGGGGTGCAGAGGGGCTGAAGGGTCATAGGAAGGCTGAGAGATACAGGCTCTGGTTGACATAATTTTATCAGTGGAAAAAAAGGAGACATTTTTTTTACAAATTTCAGTGGAGGCATCAAAACCAAGAGACTTGGGAGCCTCACTTAAAGCAGATCGAGCTTTAAGTTTCACCAGCTGGCTGCTGTATTTGCCCCGGCGGCACCAGTAGCGCCGGCGTTTAGCCCAGGGAAGTGGAGCGTGGGTGCAGTGAAGGTGAGCTGGTATCCCGGGGAGGTGAAACGGCTGAAACGTTGTATGACCATCATGATCAGGATCTAATTTCACCAAATCCTTGGCAGAGAGGCAAGGATCCAGCAGTGTTTGGCTGTCATACACAAGCAGTGAGCTGACATTACTGATAACAATAGACACAAACAGCACTGACAGCGAGAGACGGCAGGCCACACACACCGGCGCCATCTTCCAGTCTCGCGCGCTATCAAGTTTGCACGTGTTTTTGCACACACAAACCTTTTGATCAGGCCCTATGTGTGTGGTACTGTGTGATTGAACAATGTGATGTGGATTTTCATTGTCAGACCAAGAAGCAGTCTGATAATGTTCTCGTTTCTTTTCTTTTTTTTTGCAAAATGAGTGATTTACTTTCTAATGACCCACAAGGTTAATATACACTCTTTTAAAATGTGACTTCCCTTGAAAAGTGTGATTAATTGGGTGTGAAATGAAACAATTTGATTCAGTTGTGTGATGGCTTTTAATACATGATTGTTTATTTTCAGTTTAACGTTATAAAGATACCATGACCATACTATTGATTATAGTGTTCAACAAAGCATCCTCACAGCAAAGAGACCTCAAATGCAGCCTGCAAGGCAAAGAGCCACAGCTCGTGTCTTTTAACATTCATGTATTCACTCAGAACTCAGTCAAAGCAGCAAACGCTGTGAACACAGCCAACTGGAGATCTCTGGGAACCAGGTCTTGTCCCATTTCATCCTTAATAAATCAGAGCACACCCCTGGATTTGGATGGAGAACAATGCCCCTAGAGTGGGATGCCATCCATCTCTCTGCCCAATGCAAATGTGGTAGTCATGATTGTAAAGAGTCCTTTCATTAATTTGAACTGTGTATATGTAAACAATGTGCAGCACATAAGACTACAAGATGTCAACCTTAGGGCTCATTATCACTGATAGGTTGTCATCCAAAAAAGCAGGTAGGGTGGGGCAGGTGCTGCAGCACCTCACAGTTAACATAGCACAGAAGCACCAGAGGAGTTGAAGCTTTGTCCCACCTCCCACTCCCAGTATCTCTCTCCTGGATTCCTTTCTATTGTTCTAATAAGCCTGGCTTCTCGCTGTTGCTCACATGCCTGTTCGTGTGTGAAACATCCATCCATAACAACATCATTATCAGGTTTTGTTTGAAGCTTCTCTCCCTTTCTCTCTGTCACACTTCCCCCTCCTCTGCCTCATCTGCTCATGCTTGGCAGGCTTGAGAAATCCAGCACTGAGGAAGTGAAGGAAAGGAAACAGAGTGAGAGATGTGGAGTGAAGAAACTCTGCTGGCTGCATTAGCATATCAGACACATGGTGAGGGCTGGAGATTGGGTACTGGAGCAGATGTCGATTTACATATTCAACGTCGGGCCAGTGGTGCATGTGTACATAGGTGTGTGTGAGCTTGTGTGATTAAAAAAAAATCAGGATATCACTAGTGTGAGAAGCATTGGTGGAGCAGGAGTAGATGGAAGGAAGGTTGAATCCCAATTAGAGGAAGTATTTGCTTCCAACATGACCAACTTCAATTTTACTCCAAGAAAGTGCATCAATCTTCTTCCTTTACCTTTGTTTTTGCAATAAGATGAGCACAAAAAGATGATGGCCATGATTGACGGCTGTTGCAGACGTTTTGGCAGACTCATGGAGCTGATCAAAGCCTGAAAAGCTGTCTGACAGTATTGATGTAGTTAATTAGAGTAAACACAGAGCGCTCACATGCTGGCTCATTATCTGCAACTCACTAACAGCACACAGATTCACAGAGACATAGAGACACATGCACGCACACACTCACATGCACATGCACACACACAACTGCGACAGTATGTTGTCTATTTCTCCATTTATCTGCTTGAAATGTGAAAAATTGTCTCATCTAGGTGTAACCATTATCTGTGATTCTCTTCTTTACATGTTTTCATCTTTCTTTCCTCCAAACAACTTATCAGGTGTCTACCCTCCCTGCTTTGTTTTCTTTTTGGGCTCTGACTGTGTAATTTCTCTCCGACTCTCTCTGCCTTTCAAGAGGAAGGAACATTGTTTGCAGAGAGTTCTTAGCCCTTTTTCAGCAGTAATACAGGGAGAAAAGCAAACTCACAGGAATTGCAGTCCAGCACTGCTGGGTGAAATGTGTACTTGCATACTGTGAACAGTTCTTAGATGTGTCAGAGGTTGCATGAAAAAATTAACTGATTTCAGTCAGAAAGGGGAATTTGTGGTGGATACATAACTTTTTACTTTGCAAAAGGAATTTTATACATCTTATGGTTCACTGCACATTGTACAATAAAATCCTATGCAGTTCTACCAGGTTAACAGTTAAGTAGTAAGATCAGTGAAAAATACATAACTAATACTAAATACTAAACTAACAATAAAATGTCAAAGCTAGGCTAAAATTGTATTCAAAAAGAAGATCAATTCTGAAAAAGAAAATAGGTGAAAACACCACATTAGACATTCAAGACAGTGACCACCTTCTGTTGGTATTGCACAGTTAATGTTTTCATATTGCACAGTTTTGGCAGCAATAAGTGCTGTTATTGCTAGGATATAAACTGTTTCACAGTCTTTTTGTTCTTGTTTCATAAAGAAAAGGTGAGCAAAGACAAATCTGCGCACCTATGATTTGAGCAGACCATCACACAGCCACTTGTATTATGCATACAAAAATGCACACAGAGCCGTCAAGTACAGCACAGTGTAACAGTCATTGACTGATAGACTGTATCAGTCAATGGACACCATCTGCCTCTTTACTGGGTGAAGCCACGCGAGAGCAGCACCTCTAGTGAAGGGCTGCAGAATAGGTCATAAATCCCGCCTCCTCCACTAATCCCTATGGAGCTGTGGAGAAACTTTAAAATTAAATTACACAGAATATACATTTCGCTCCCCCCTCCTTGCGATGTTAACATGTACACTGAAGATCAAATTTACTTATTCCAAAATTATAATCTTTATTGCTCAACATTTGAAGGATTGCTTGTCGTGGCAATACTGCGCTACGAGAACAATGTTTTACGACAAAACAAGGAATTTCAACAAAAAAAAACCCCTTCATTTAGCAGAAAACACAATGATCAAAATTAAAGAAAAGCAATGCCTGTAGCACAAAGAAAGATGACAACAAAATTGCCTGAAGGTTAGGACAGTCACACATTAATAGGAAGAGTACATGCCTTTGTTTTGAATGACTTGAGCACATCTACGGCCACAAGACATCACCAGTCCCTCACACTGCTCTTGTGTGATTTTGGTCCACTCTTTTTTTTAATCTCTTCCACAGTTTGGTGACTGTAGTGGGTTTCTTGGCCACAACTTTGTTGCCAAGGATTTTACAGAGGTTTTCTACTGGGTTTAGATCAGGATTCTGGCTTGGCCATGTCATTATTTCAGTGATTTCAGTTTCAAGGAACTGCTTTATTAATTTCGCTGTGTGACAGGGGGCATTGTCCTGCATGAAAATGGTTGGCTGATTGGGTGATGAACGCAGGGATGGAATCATATGTTGTTGAAGAAGGTTCTGATAAAAAATTGCATTCACTCTGCTTCGTAGCCGGATAAGAGGCCCAAATCCTGCTGCAGAAAATATTCCCAAAACTATGAAACTTCCTCCTCCACCTCTCACTGACTTCTTTACACACTTTGGGTGCAGTCTTTCTCCAGTTTGATGACGAACATAGAGTTTTCCATTGGACCAAAATAAATTAAACTTGCATTCATCACTGAAATTGACTTTGGACCAGTTTTCTATGTCCGCACAACATGTTCCTCAGCAAAGGTTAGTCTAGCCTTTTGATTCTTTCTACTAATGAGAGGTTTGGTCACTGCAGAGTGGGCTTTCAGTCCAAATGCTCTTAAACAATGAGACACTGTATGATGAGACAGAAGGCTATATTTTCGTGCCTTGCCGGAGACGTGCCGCAGGCACGAACGTAAGTCAGGTCCGCCACTCTGACAAGGCGTTCCCAATCACAATTTGGTATTTTGGTGAGCGGCGCAGCCCGGCGTAAGTATCCCCCCTCCCTAACTCAGCTCCTCCCCGCAGGTTAAGTCGTAGGGAGGGAGGAGAGAGGACGTGGAGTGGTTTTAACACAGCCGAGACCTGCATTGACCAATAACATCAGCTCCTCTCCTCGCCTTTAAATCCGCCACCAGTGAGGCATATTACTATTTTCGTGAAGTGGTCAAAGAGATCAAGAGATGTCTGAAGACAGTAATGTCACACAATGGCGGCAGAAGGCAGCCCCTCAACAAGTGTCACTGTAAGCTCTGCGAAGGGCATCCTCCACACTGTCTCATATAAGCATGGATGGAGTTGGTGTGTGTATTGTTGGACCCACTGGTAAGACAAACACCCTTTTTCCACAAATAAAGACACTCACATAAAGTTGCACATATTTAAACCTCACGTGACAAAAGTGGGTTGTGCACACAGATCACATCATAAATTCCAATAATGGCATTAAAATCAGAACCACCTGTGCGTAAAGGACACGTTCCGTGGCCTGGCTCTTTCTTTCATAGATGTTGGCATGTAAAATAAATTTGACTCACAAAACTGAATATTATAATATTTGTATGTCGGCTTAAAGTAAAAAAACTCATCTGATCACTGAAACAAATCATCTGTTCAGCCGCCGCAGCAGCAGCAGGACGGGGAGAGGACACGGAGACATGTCCAGGTCGAGCTGTGCGAGAAATCAGAGGAAGAGGAAGAAAGAAAAGGAGGGAGACGAATTACATATCTTGTTAACTTCATCGTGTGTGTTTATTTACTAGATATTTAATTTAATTTAATGCCGTTTCAGCTGTGTTGATTCGGTCAGGTTGTGTGTCCAAACGGTGCCAAACGCGCTCATCAGATCAGATATAGATCAGAATATATCTATATAGATCTAAATGTATGTGCTGACTCAGATTATTAGTTGTTGTTGATTATTTATTGCACTGAAATGTGCCTGACACTGTGGAAACCTGCCGGTGAGGCATCAGTGACGTATGCCGATATGCCACCGGTCTACCAAAATACCACTAGACCAGCTGTGCTCCGCCTGCGCTGAAAGCTGACAAGGTTTGAATCGGTGAGCTTTCAGTGCACTTTATACGCCACCGGCGAGCACGAAAATGTCACTGCGCCAGCTGATTCTGTCAACACCTCCACCTGCCACGCCACCATGCCCAGCTTGGCGGACCTCAGTGCGCCTCAGTCCACGAAATTACCAAACTGGCTGTATGCCTGGCTCCGCCAGATGAAAATACCACTGCGCGGGGTACGCCACCCTCTGCCGCCTCACCAGCAGATACGAAAATAGAGCCCAGAGTCTTACCTTGTTCAGCACTGAATTGGTCCAGCTACAGTGTTGAACCGATTGTCCATTGAGGTTCTCTGTATTATCCTGTCCTCTCTTTCATTTGTCTTTTGTGGACGATTGGCCTTCTTGGTGGACTTGAATGAGTTTGTGACTTTGTAAAGATGGAATATTCTGGAAATCACAGATTTGGAAAGACCAATTTCTCTTGCTATTGCTGACAGGGTCATCCCCTTGGCCTCATCTGGACCACCTGTTGCTGTTTCAGTAACTTTAGAATAGCTCACCATCTTGTAAAGTCAGTGAAAACTGGAAGTTAGGCTGCCAGTTAAATAGGGTTGGCAAGATAATTAAAGAAATAAGCACAAGGTGCCAAACTAACACTCATAACTAGGAGGTATCTTTAAGTGTTCTCTAATTTTAATCAGTGCTTTTTTTTTTTTAAATATCCCATTTAAGCTTTTTATACTGTGCTTCATAATATATGTAACTCATGCGTTATGCTAAAAATTCTGCTTCTTCACTATGGTTTGGATTATTTTATAACAGAACAATGCAGTGAACTTGACATTTAGGAAATTGTGGTTTGTTCTCTAACTTTGATCTCCAGTGTAGTTATTGACTGGTTCGTGCTCAAGTCCTCTTTTTTTGTGCAGCTCCATTTTTAAAAGTTTTTAGGGGGTTCATGTTTTCTACACTTGATACAGCCTATGGGTGTTCGAAGTTTACGTAGCTCACCCGGGGGGAAATCACTGTTTGAGCAGAGCGTCATCACAGTGACTCCTCCATCGAATGCGTACAACGCGACTGCGCAAGTGGTGGTTCCAGGAAGTGTAGAAAATCCTGGAAAAACCAAAAGCCATTTGGATTCAAATTTGTATAATGATGGAAGGCGGAGCCAAGTTGTCCATAGTTTATACAGTCTAAGGTAAAAGCACATTTCGAAGACCATGCAACAAACATGTACCACACATTGTATACAAAAGTACATAGCCCCTTCTGTCAGATTTTGCATATAGAGAGTTTAAGAGATGATAACAAATGACAGAGGCCTCTGCAGTATAACACTTAAACTTGCGAAGTGGAAACAGTGAGGTGAAAATTTGAAAGAATGTGGCCCTCTACCAAAGTAGAAGAATCATATTTACTCTGAAAAATAGTGTCAATCAATGTAAAAGGTTTGTGCAGCACGTTCAAGGTGTCTGCAGTATA